CCATGAATGTTCTGTTGATTGGAGAAATAAGTGAAATGTCTATTTAGCCTGTACTGTTGCTTTTCTGGTATGACAGACCATTAGCTTTGTAGATGCTTATTTGGAGAGAAGGCTTAATAGATTAAATCAGTGATTGGTCTTTATGTGAAGTAAATTAAAACTGGATGAGTGTGAAGTGCAATAAATGAAAGTCTCTTCCTAGAAATTTGAAAGATAGTGGACTAGGAGGACTAGAAAGTGAATTGCCAAATGCCTTTTTCTGTGATGATCTGTATATGTTACACAGACAGCACATGACCTAATTGAGGCTTTCCAGACCTTCCCACCTGAAGAGAGCCTGCAAGAAAGATGGAGAGAGACTTTTTACAAAAGCATGGAGTGACAGGATGAGGGGGAATGGCTTTAAACTGAGAGAGAGTGGATTTGGATTAGATATTAGGAAGAAATTCTTAACTGTGAGGGTGGTGAGGCCCTGGAAGAGGTTACCTGGAGAAGCTGTGGATGTCCCATCTCTGGAAGTCTGGACAGAGCTCTAAGCATCCTGGTCAAATCATAGCAGGGGGCTGGAATTAGATGATCTTTATGGACCCAGACCATTCTGTGGTTCATCTTAGGATATGGCTTGCATAATGACTCTGAGAAAATGCAATAAAAAAGAATAGAGCATTGACTCTTTGCTTTAGTCTCCTTTCCTGCTTGCTTCTGTGTGTCTACAGCGAATCTATTTTATTTATTAATAAAATTCTTGCATCTGATTAACTTTTTAGGGTTATTTGACTGTAGGATCAACCAGGCTAAACTTAAAATAATAGGCATTCTGTTTATATGCTACTAGTGATGCTGTAATTATATGGTACACTGGATCCCTGAGGAGACCTGTGAGGAAGTCTGAGCATATAAAAGCAGATCTGTGAGACTGGGTGGTAGTTGTGGAGACAGCCTGACATAGTTGGCACCCTGATTGAGGTGGTCGAAATGAATGAGTGATCGTTGTCTTTTACACTTCCCAAAAGAGCAGTTTTGGAGGTGATTCTCAGGGTATGTCTTGTCCAACCCATCTGAATTAAGTTAAAGTAGGGGACTGGAAGAGCAGAGTGTCGACAGCTGAAGTACAATATGCAGGCTACTTTTTTTTTGTCTGCTTTTGTCAATGTTCCTCACTTTTCTTACTTTCTTTCCCGACTTTGATTAGGAATATGCAAGTACATAAATTCATAAGCTAGGAAGGAGAGTGTAAGAAGAATTGGTGAATATATTTCAATATGTGTGCTGGACAGGGACAGCACATAAATAACTGGAGCCTTCTTTTGCTTTTTTGTGACAAAGTGTCCCCCAGCAGTCTTCTCTTGCTTGGTTCCAGTGTGAGGGTGGACTTCTTGTGTTCAGTGTCCTGACCTCAAAGGACATTAGCAATGACTGCTGCAGAAATGATTCATGTAAAGGTAGGTATGAATGCAAGTGTTCTTTACCTGTGAAGTGATGGTCACACGTCTATAGTGTCACCAGTTATTATGAGAACTATGTTTCCCATCAGTCAGCATTTATCAGGCCAGCAATTATCAGTAGTTAGCAGGCTCTGATGTCTGAAAATGAAAGCTGTGTTTGTTGAAGTGACAAAACGTTTTATTGCAGTATCTTAGGCAATGTAAGTTGATAACTCAATGTTCAATTTAAAGTGATGATTAATTTAATCATGCATAAATATGCCACAGCACGCTATTAAGCTGGACATGAGCTGGCCATGAGCCCTGGCAGCCTGGAAAGCCAAACATGTCCTGGGCTGCATCCAAAGCCCCGTGGGCAGCAGGGCAGGGAGGGGATTCTGCCCCTCTGCCCCTCTCTGCTCAGACCCCACCTGCAGGGCTGCATCCAGCCCTGGGCTCCCAGCACAGGAAGGACAGGGAGCTGCTGGAGCCGGGCCAGAGGAGACACCAAGGTGATCAGAGGGATGGAGCAGCTCTGCTGTGAGGAAAGGCTGAGAGGATTGGGATTCTTCTGACTGGGGAAGAGAAGGCTTTGAGGAGATCTAATTGTGGCCTTCCAGTACCTGAAGGGAGTTTTCCTGGAGGAAAGATGGAGAGAGCCTGAATTGACAAAACAAGGGGGTATGATTTAAACTGAGAGTAGGTTTAGTTTAGATATTGGGAAGAAATTCTTGACTTGAGGGTGGTGAGGCACTGGAACCCTCCTGTGGAATAGCTCCAACAATTCTAATATTGTAGGAATTTTGGTTTTGCCCACCAGCATGTAATAGCTCATGTGAAGTCATTGCAGTCTGTTATAGTAAAGACTTAAGCGCTCCTAAACTCAGCAGTTGCTCATATGCTCTAGGCATGCACCAGATGGAAATCCTGGGGGGAGGAATGGAAAAGGGAGCTGTATGGGTAGCCCAGGATACACACAACTGCCTGCTTCAGGTCATTGCTCTGCAGTAAAAGTATCCTCTGCCCTGACAGCTCATGGGGTTAACAGAATTTCTGTTCCTTCTAAATGAAGTTGTACTTGTGAGAGAAGTTGGGGGGGGAACCATAGCAAAGGAATCAAAACTAGAATCAAACACCACTTGCGTCTGTCTCTTTCTGATACGCAGGCAGTGTCTAGAGACAGGCAATGGAGCCAAGTTTCTGGTTTCATTTCTTTATTTTCCTGATTTATTTCTAAATCAGCATAACCTTAGGGAATACCTGTTGGTGCTCAGTTCACTCTGGAAAGAGGGAGCTTGATGTGCCCTGTGAATGATCTTGTGTGTGTTTTGCTTCCTCCCTCCTCTAAGTGCTTGATGAGGGGAATTCCTTGTAGCCCGGGAGAGCTGAAGGTGCTCCCAGCCATCACAGGAATGTGTGGTCTGATTGTCCTTGAAACACCTCCTTGCACATTGGCATGGTCCCTGCTGCTCATATCTCAACCTTCTCTTCTGCACAAATTGTTTAATTAGGATAGAGTGAGTAAGCACTAGTTGTATGATAAACATCAGTACTGAAGAGGAAGATTAAGTGCTATTGTGACCTGAGGAGGGGTTTTTAATTGGGTTGTATAAGGTACAAGGTTAACTTTTTATGGGAGAAAGCTTTTTGCACAGCTTTAAACATGGCCTGTAAGTCTGGGTAGGATATACCTCCAGGAGTTCTGAACGCTATCAACAAACCTTTGTGTGCAAGAAAACTGATATTTTGGATTTGTGTTTTGCATTTCTTTCTACTAATTTTGTTACCCTGTGTTAAACAAGTATCATAATTCAGTTGTATCTGTTCTCTGCCTTAAGTCCCTCTCACTTTGTAGAAACATCTTAGCTTTCCTTTTTTTCCTGATACTGTTAATAGAAATTTCTAAACACAGCTAGTGGGGTTTTATTTGCTTTTTGAGGCTAAGTAATAAATTAAGTTGGTAGCCTTGTGTCTGGAGTATTATAAATGTTTCTAATCAGAGTATGAAGTTGACTTTTTAGTACCATGTGCTGTCAGATGTTTATCTTTTACTTTAATGGTGATTCCAGTCTTTTTTGATGTTGTGTGTGGGGTCATGGACTAGGGTTATTTTTTAACTGGAGATTCTCCTATTAGTTCTGGGTTGGGTTTTTTTTTGTTGTTGCTTTTCTATTTTGTTTTGGTTTTTTTGTTGGTAGAAGTGAGAATAAAATATATCTTCCAAATGTCCTGTAAGTTTATCTGTGCTTAGCTACAGAATATGGGTTTTTTTCATGTACAGGCATTGCAGATTATGGATTTCTTTGTTCTTCTGGTAATAGAATCTGGAAGCCTCTGAAAGCCAATTTGTGCAACAGCAATGTAACACTTAACTGTGGTGGCATGCCTTAGTTTAATGACCTGAGTGTTAGTAAAACAGGAGTCCAAAGGTGGATTCACTCTGTTGAATGGATCCTTATGCCTTTCCTCATAACTTTTGTAGTAAATGAGGCATTGAAAATATTTTAAAGTATGTAGAGCCTAGAATATAATTAGGACATTGATGTTAAATTGCTTTTCTACGACTCAGCAAAACTGCTGATCAGAAAATTGAGACAAATGTTTCACTAACCTGCAGAAGCAGGTTTACCTTGTATTTAAGAAGTGCAGACCAATTGGAGCAGCATGGCACCTCCACTCAAAGGATTTTCAGGATCCATGCTAAAAAAGACTATTTTTGAGACACAATGAAGAGGCAAAAAGTGCTGTGACTGTTGCATAAACATTTTTCCAGGCTCATATAGTCTAATTAGGTATTCAGGTGTGAGAGTGTCTGTACAATTAATGCCAAGGAAATGTTCAAGCTAAGGTTGTATTTGAGCGCTGAGCAACCTGGTCTAGTGGAAGGTGTCCCTGTTCATGGTAGGGGGTTGGAATGAGATGAGTTTTGAACTCCCTTCCAACCCAGGCCATTTATGATGCTCTGCCTATATTGTATTTATGTGTGTGTGTGTACATGCAATCCTGAAACTGAAAATTTCTAAAGTGAGCTGACATTTGAGATTTCCCTTTTGGCTTTCTTTTTTTTGCCTTCTCTTTCCCTACTGGGACTGTTTATGGAAAAGGGATAAGGCATACATGTTAAACTTCAAAGAACTGTTAACTAATGGGGGTGGTAAGATACTGTGGTTTTGGATGTCCTCCTATTGAATCTGGCAGATGAAAGGATGAGAAAGTAGTAGCTATGAGAGGAATCTGGAAGCACACAGTGATCTAGAAGTAAATGTAAATAGGAAGATTATCAGAAAAAAAAAAAAGATTGTCATCCTTGTATATGTAAGGGAACCTCCTCTAAGCACAGTCTGCATCTGGTATGGGTTTGATAACACTATAAAGGGTTATCTCTGTTAGTCCATCTCAGGTTTTTAAGTAGGGGAGTGTCTGATTCAGTCTCCGATATCAGACAAAGCAATTTCAAATGTTGTATAGATTTGTTTGGTTTTTTTTTAAGTTTTTTGTAACATTAAAGGAGTAACTTGTGAGAGCCCTTTGTGATGCTTAAGGCACAAATAAATTGTGCTCTGTTCTTTTCTTTAGGATCCCGTCTCCGCCAAGAGGACTTTCCACCGCGGATTGTTGAGCATCCTTCAGATGTGATAGTGTCTAAAGGAGAGCCAACTACTCTGAACTGCAAAGCAGAGGGACGGCCGACCCCCACCATCGAGTGGTACAAGGATGGCGAGCGGGTGGAAACGGACAAGGATGATCCGCGCTCCCACCGGATGCTGCTGCCCAGCGGATCTTTATTTTTCTTGCGCATCGTGCACGGGCGCAGGAGTAAACCCGACGAGGGAAGCTATGTTTGTGTAGCAAGGAACTACCTTGGAGAAGCTGTGAGTCGCAATGCGTCTCTGGAAGTGGCATGTGAGTAGTTTTATTGGTTTAGTATTCTGTAAAACTTCATAGTGGCTTTTATGCTGTCACCCAGCATCCTGGATAACAAATGAGGTGACAAACGGGGATAAGTACAGCATTTTGTCATTAGCTGTTCCTCTTAGTCAAGGCATTTTCATATGTGTTTGTTCAGTAGCAGTGACCATACAGAATAAGTGATTTATACTGAAATGAGGTTCTAGCCAGAGTATAATCATGATTGGCACAAACTTGGACAGAGGATAATCTTCCTCTGAAGAATAATCTAATTTTTAAATGATGTCTAGAGTTGGTTATACTGGAACTAATATGGAAAAATACCTATTATTTAATCTAAGGTGCACTGTCTGTTTCTCTTTATCTCATCATCTGTTACCTCAAGAGAAGCAGACAGCATCTTGGTGACTCATGTTCTGTACTGCTGGAAACCTCAATATATGCTCCTTGATCATAAATTTGACCCAGGCCTCATTCATTATGTGGATGGCAAGTGAAATTGTTGACCATTTCTCATATCATCCAGAGTGGTCGTGGTCTTTATCGATTCTCTTTGTCTTAACAGAGAAGTCAACAGGGCTCTTTCAGACCCCACCTGGCATGAGTAGTCTGCTTCCAGCAGAGTTAGCAGATACATTCATTATATTCTCAGCAAACAATCAGACATAAAATATAATCAGTTGCGCATGTTCGGGTATTTTTTTGCTGCTTAGTTATATAGGTTGAATCAACACTGATCTTTTCATTCAGAATTCTTCACATAGACTTGTATTTTAATAGATTTATGAGTGCTCTCTTCTTGCTGGGCTTTAGTTTTTCATCCACAGCTCTTCATCTGACAGTAGTTTCCCTAAAAATGTGTTTCAAGTAGGGCTTTAGAACAAATTTGTACTTCTTAGTTGATAAAGAATGGATTAAGTCCACAGTAGATGGTATGTTTAAAGGGGGGAGGCACAGAAATCTTTGTTTCTAATGCAGTCTTCAGACTTTCATAACTAATATGGTGTGATCTTAAGGCTTCTGTTTTCTCAGAAATTTCAGAAAATGCCATTTTTGAAATATGTAAATGGCAGGTAGAACAGACTTGTTCACTACATTTCACCTATTATAACCTAGATTCAAATCTGGGTCAAAAAATGAACAGTTTTGGTACACTATCAGAGCAGAAATTAATGTGCCAGTAAATGCATCATAGAAGGTTTTTCAGTTTTGGTTGGTATTTGGGAGTTGAGGAAAAACCAGTTTAAGGAAGGCTGAAATCTGGGTGAGTATTACAAGATAAATTTATTGGATTATTTGTGTCTTTCTACATCTGTTTTAACTGTTGAGAAATCCTAAGATTTCCTAAGAGATATAAACCCTTGAAATTTTTGTTCTAATCCTGTTGAGATTCAGGATCTCCTGTTGAAGTTCAAAGGATTGTTCCAGTTGTACCTTGAGTCATCAAATTGAAGTGACTGATTATTTTAAAATTTAAATATGCTCTATGTCTTGTCAGTTTTCACTGATCCCTCGTTCATTGACTATTGTGAGACTCTTGTTACACCATCTCCAGTCTCTGGAGTTTGTTTAACCACTGTAGCTGGTGTCAAGTCAGGCATGAATCATATGGGAGATAGTAGCAAACTTTAATAAAGCTGTTCTCCTTTGTCAGCTATTTTAGGGCAGGAGCAATGTGAATGTGAAAGTGAGATATGAAACCATAGCTGAAGTTTTTGTAATAACATTGTACTTTACTGTTTTGATAGCTTTGAAATTTAACTGTCTGAATCCCCCAATTAAAGGGTTTAGCAGTCTAAAGCAGGCTCTCCTATTTCACTTCAATGGTGCTTTATCTTTCCTTGAGCAGTACCATGGCTGCAATTACAAAAAGGTCTTCATCAAAGAAAAACATGTAATACATACATTGCTTGTTTATTTAATTTTAGAGATTCTGCTGTGATTTTTAAAAACACAGCAGTGCCTGATGTGTATCCTTCCAAAGGCATCCTTTGGAAGATTACAGCAAATAGTTTTTTGATATAATTTTGATATAATTGATATAATTTTTGAGATAATTTTTGGTCGTAAATCTGTTTTTTGAGTGAGTTTCAGGGAACAATTGGAGTCTCTTATTTATTTTTCTACTGTCAGCATTTCTGGGCTGAGGAAGATGGGCAGGTCTGTAGCAGCCCATTTGCCCACTCAGGAAATGAGTTGCTGGTGACAGACTGTTGTCAGCAGAGTCCCCATTCACCTGTCCTCAACTCCTGCTGGAAAACTGTTGAGTTGCCTGGATGCTGCAGCCCTGTCCTTGGGGCCGCACATGATCCAGTCTGACTCGTGCTCTCTGTCATGGTGTTGAAAACTCTTCTTTCCACACCCTGCCAAGCTGTTTTCATCACCACAAACAGCATGGTTGTCCTTTCCTGACAACAGAGTTATGGGTTATTATCTGACTGTAGGTGGCCTCAAATAGTGCCATGAGGAGCAAACTGCTGCTTTTCACAGGTTTACAGTGCTTGAGTGTGCTGCTTTAGAGTAAGAAACTATACTTGTTTTAATTTTCTTATTAAACTGGCAGTTACTAATGTGCTCTTGCAACTTTTGAGTGATTTATGAAGAAATATTTATTGGGTTTGCATATGTGTTAGATGTTTGTGCTTGTGCATTAATATGATAAACAGTGTTAATTGTGATTCATTTTCTTTTCTTTTCTTTTTTCTTTTTCACCCCCTCCATGGGTGCCTGCCACAAAACCGTGGGATTGAAAATCTTCTGATATATCTATATTTCTGTGTAAAGACAGAATTTAAATTCAGCTGGGACACAGAATGGTTCAAACCATCTTGAACAGTCATTTGCCCCTTGTGTTTTATTTTTTTTTGAGTGAGTTTTTTCAAGTTGCTGGAATCCCTAAACTCTTTTTGGCTGAGTAACAGTTTACCGCTTTCCCAAGCATGAAGAATTTAGGTACCAGCCACTCTAAGGCACATAAGGTATGGCTCTAAATCCATGCCTCTTCAGAGCACTTGCAAACAGTCTGAGGCAAGTATTCTTGTATTGATGTATATCCTCAGAAAAATTTTTCCATGCTAGTAAAACTGTGAAGAACTGTGATTTGGAAAATTACTTAAAAAAACATCATTAATACTAAATGTACTTTTAAAATATTTTTGCATTTAATTTAGAATATCTTCATTCCAGAAGACATTTAAGAAGAAATAGTTGGAATTTTGAAGAAAAAGTTATTTGAAGGCACAGTTTAGGATTGATGCAACTCACTCCATTTAATTGTTTTAAAGCATTAAATCCTGGTGTGCTTCATGCAGATTAATTCTTCAGTCAGAGCTTCCTTAGAAGGAAAAAATAATGCAAATGCTACCAGTCAAACAAGTCTTCCAAATTGTACGTGGCAAATTCTCATGTAGTGTTTTTGTTTCATGGTTAAATCATTAAAAACAGATGTTCTAGTCTTAAAACTCTATGAAGAATTGTATTTAAAAGAGTAAAATATCTTTCTTTTCATTTTCTCCATTAGAATTTTTTAATTGAAATTGACCAAGAGTTGGCATTATTGGACGTATGTTGATGTTCAGATTTTCTTGGGGGAGAATTTAGAAAGGGAAGTAGGCTGGAAATAGTTTGATCTTTCACCAAACTGCTTTCTTATTCAAACACCAGGAGTCTTAAAATAAAAGCCCATTTTTTTTAACAATGCACCAGTTGAGGCGATCGACGTGGTGGAGTTTTCCAGGGGGAATATCAGGAAACACATTTGCAGTAGCGAGCATAGCTTGGATTTCAGCTGGGAGCACCGGGGCGCCACGTGTGAGCAGGGGATGGAGCGCGAGGGTCCCCACGCTGGCCAGGGCTGCCTCTGATCCAGCTGGAGTCAGCGGCAGCCCCCAGGGAGAGCAGCTGGAGCTCCAGGTGTTAAATATGTGACAGCAGCTTGATCTATCGACCACTGTTATGGGGGCTTTGGCCTAAATGAAAATTCATGAAAAATTGATGAAGTCCCCGGATTATTTTTTTCCCTTTTCCTTTTGCAGTCTGTGCCAGTGCAGCGAGGAGAGATTAAATGAGGTGTTGAACGCTTTAGTGGCGAGGAGGTTGTGGTTCAGAGGTCAGGGGGGAGGGGAAATAACACCCATTTTCTACCTTACTTTCCTTTAAAAGAAAACATGAAGCTTTTCAGATTAGTTGGGATTTGCTGCCATTTTAATATAATAATAAAGCTCAGGAATATTCACAAATGGGATTCTTTTCTGCATGGGTTGGCAAAGACTGGGAGCATGTGGGTGGGTGCAGAAAACAGTGTAAGCCTCTGAGTCATAATTCAATTGGAGAACCAGAAATAGATTGAATTTTGTAATGGCAGTATAAATTTGGGCTTCCATCTTTCTGAGTCTCTGCTTGAACTGAAGTCATTTGGAGAAAGAAGAGGTCTTGCATTATTTATATGCCACAGATTGCTTGGATAGCAGGCTTTGGAACACTCTCTAAACATAATGATCCTGTTTGTGTTAGATTCAACACTGAATTATGTTTTTTTCTTTAACAAGAGAGGTAATAGTAGTACACTGAGTTTAGTGTGAAGTCAGAGGTGTTCTGCAAAGCAAGCCTAAGCCAGATCTTAAACACAGGAGACAGTAATTTTACAAATAAACCATATATATTTAAATGTTTAGTGAATAAAGGCTGAGAGATATAAAATATATGCTCTGCAATCCCCTCTGCATCATAATGCTGATAGCTATTTGCTGGAGCATGTGCAGTAGGCTGCAATATGTTCATAATAATGGAGTTAATAATTTCCTTTGAGATATTCAGAGTGAAAGAAGAGCACAGTGTATGTGACTGTAAAATGGGTAGATGATTTTTTTTCCATCTAGTTTCTGTTTAATGTATGATAGTAACACATTATTAACTTTGTTACTGGTAATTTTAAAGTCTGATTTACTAGAGGTTACTTTCACTTGTGGAGAGTGTGTCCTGTTACTTATACCCCT